GTTTTGGAATTCAACGCAGGGTATTAAAACAATGTTTCTTGATTTTTTTTGGTGGAGTGCCACCTTTGTTATTCTTTTTGGCTACCATGTAATTCATTGACATTCACCAGTACATTTTTAAAATTACGAAATTTTATGCTAAAGCAAAGAGCAATTCTTGGGGAGCTTTACAACATAGCATGCATGTTTTAAGCTATAACTAAGTATGAAAAGAAAAACCTAATGATTGTTAGTCATATACAACAGAGATTTAATCACTGATTGTGTGATCGTAGTGTATTTCTATAACTATTATCGGAACACTTTGCAGTATGCATTGAGATAAGACACTTTGACACTTTGAAAGTAACATGACTCTTTTCTAAAGCAGGAATAATGACATTATGGACACTAAACAGCTGTTCCAGAACAACAGCTCAGATACACCATTTGAACAAGTAATTAAGGGCACAATTCTGTGTATGTTTAGGCAGAAAAATTTCTTCAACTCCTGGCATACCCTAGCTAGCTATTCAGGGAGGTGTTTGTTTGTTTGTTTGTTTGATCATATAGGGGATTGCCTTTTAAATTCTTTTAAACTCTTGAAATATATATGTGCATTTTGTTCATTAATGGGAGACTGCCAAACTTAAAGAAGTAAAAATATTTCTGAAAATAAATGTAACCACTATATTATCAAACAATTAAAATAACAGGAATGTGGGGTGCTGCTAAAAGATTGAACTGATACAATCCAGAAAGTGGTGCTGCTCTCCTCAATCAGACAGACTCCACATGGTTCTTTCTTGTTCCCCATGCTGTTCAGCATCTTGAAACCTCTGGGTGAAACATGTAGCCTCTCTATAAGGTTATTAGATCCATGATTTGGGCTATGAAGTCATCAGTAAGCAAAGAGGACATAAAATAGTCCCCAGGATGGGTCTATGGCGGGAAGCAGGGTTGCGGCTCCATGGTTTAATTGTCAGTTGCTTTATGACCTTCTGTAGTGGTGCCCTCTGGATCATCCCTTTGTAACTGGATGATTCATAATTACATTGTTAATTATAAATTGAAGCCTGCTTTATCCTTGACACTGTATAGCCTGGTCCTCACTATCAGAGTCCTCCCACTGCAGGTAGGATATCCCTCTATCCATACCTCACCTAAAGGGCATGGTCAATAAATAAAACTTTTTTTAAAAGGAAGAAAATCCAAGGCAGGAACCTGAAGTAAGGGTGCGACTTGTCTAAGATGTACAGAGAAATGGCAACATATATAGAAGGTGGGCCATGTCAGTAATCACAATATAAATCCACATTCCTAAACTCCATTTCAGAGAAGCATGTGTAAGTAGAAGGCGATATAACTGAAATTTCAAGATCCTATAGAACATCTATAATCCAGGGGCCACCACTGAAAAGATCCTATTATACAAATCACCCTTGGAGGACAACCTCAGATGATTATAGTAGTGTATGGTTAAGTATATACCAGGAGAGGTGTTCCATCAGGGATTGCATCCCTAAGATGTATAAGGATTTATAAGTCAAAACCATACCTTGAATTGTGCTTGGAAATGTAGAGGCAGCCACTATTAATTTTTTAAGTTGTCTAGTGCCTGTATTAATCTGGTCACTGTATTTTGCACAAACTGTAGCTTTTGAACCTGTACCTTTAGGGAGAACAAGTTGATCACCCTCAATCCAGTCAGAAGAAGCATAATTATTTTCTCTTGGGTGTATTCAGCACTGATCTAGCACATCAGCAAGCCTCACCTGGTGATAAAAAGGGAAAATAGAGCTTATATTAATTGCTAATCTCATTTCCAGCTTTCCTAGAATACTGCATATTTTCTGCCTTTCAGGGATGGTACAGATTTTTGTTTGTTTGTTTGCAGTCCGTACATTTTTACAGACTAAGTGCTCTAGCTTTCACATACAAAACTTATATCTCAATCCATTTCAATTTGGATTTTAAGCCGGGTTTTGGAACAGAAACTTTCTTGGTTGCCCTGTGGGGTGACCTTTGCCAGGAGAGAGACACGGGGAGCATAACCCTATTGATTCTCCTGAACTTTTCAGCAGCTTTCAGTATCTTCAGCCATGGTATCCTGGAAAGGTTGGCTGCATTGGGAGTTAGAGGCAACACTCTGCAATGGCTCCACTCCTATCTGGTCAACAGTTGGTGGAGCTGGGGACTGTTGCTCTGCACCATTCCACAGGCTCTATTCTGTCCCCATTCTGTTTAACATCTATATGAAACCACACATGAAGTTGTCCAGAGGTCTTTCAGAGGTATGGGCTGAAGTGTCATCAAAATGCAGATAACACTCAGCTTTATCTCTCATTCTCTTCTAATCCAGATGAGGCAGTAATTGTTCTAAACTGGTGCCATGGCTTGGTAATGGACTGGATGAGGACAAATAAGCTGAAGCTCAAGCCTGACAAGATGGAGGTGCTGTCAGTAGGCAGCCCAACCACCCAACTGGGAAATTTTCAACCTGTTCTGGACAGGGTTGTGTTCCCCCTTAAGGACAAGATGTGTAGCTTAGGAGTGCTCCTTGGTCCCAAGCTGTCACTTGTTGCTTAGGTGACCTCAGTGGTCAGGAGCACCTTACATCAGCTTATGCTGATTTACTGCATCGTCTTTCAGGATTTTGAATAGCTCAACTTTAATACTGTCACCTCCACTAGCTTTGTTGTTGCTCAGACTTCCTAAGACCCATTTGACTTTGTTAAGGGACGTTAAGCTCTTTCTTGCATAGTTCTTCTGTGTAATCTTGCCATCTCTTCTTAATCTCTTCTGCCTCTGTTAGGTCCGTGCCATTTTGGTATTTTATCATGCCCATCTTTGCATGAAACGTTCCCTTCTTATCTCCAATTTTCTTGAAGAGATCTCTGGTCCTCCCTATTCTATTGTTTTCTTCTATTTCTTTCATTTAAGAAGGCATTCGTATCTCTTCTAGCTATTCTCTGGAATTCTGCATTCAATTGGGTGTATCTTTCTCTTTCTCCCTTGCCTTTTGCTTCCCTTCTTTCCTCAGCTTCCTCAGACAGCCATTTTGCTTTCTTGCATTTCTTTTTCTTTGGAATGGTTTTAGTTGCTACCTATTGTACAATGTTGTGAACATCCGTCCATAGTTCTTCAGGCACTCTGTCTATCAGATCTAATTCCTTAAATCTATTTGTCACCTCTACTCGCACATAAAACCCATATTCTACCAGCTCCACTGGCTCCCAGTTGAAGTCCGAACCCAATTCAAGGCCCAGTTTTAACCTATAAAGCCCTGAACGGCTTGGGACCAGGATACCTGAAGAGCACCTCTTCCCTTACATGCCCTCACACCCCTTAAGATCTGTGCGAGAGGCTTTGCTCCGGGAGCCCTCTTTAAAGGAGATAAAAAGAACAACTACCCAGAGCAGGACCTTTTCTGTGGTGGATCCCAGATTATGGAATGCACTCCTTGGAGAGGTGCACCTGGCATCGAGTTTATATTCTTTTCAGTGCCAGGTTAAAACCTTTTTATTTAAGTACTATTTTAAAAATTGATATTTTATCGTTAACCATTGCTTTTTTTGTTTTTATATAATTTTATGGATTTTGTTATTGTTTATTGTTTTTAATTGTATGTTGTGAGCCGTCCCAAGATGCAGAGGCATGTGGTGACAGCATATAAAAGTTTTAAATAAATAACTAAATAAATTCCAATCCCCCATGCTGATAAGGACATCATTTTTTGGTGTTGATTCAAGAAGGTGTTGTAGGCCTTCATAGAACTGGTCAACTTCAGCCTCTTCAGCACCAGTGGTTGGGGCATAGACTTGGACTACTGTGATGTTGAATGGTTTGCCTTGGATTCAAACTGAGATCATTCTGTCATTTTGGAGATTGTATCCCAGTACTGCTTTTCCTACTCTTTTGTTGACTATGAAGGCTAATCCATTTCTTCTGAAGGATTTTTGCCTGCAGTAATATACCTGATGGTCATCCAAATTCAATTCACCCATTCCTGTCCATTTTAGTTCAATGATTCCTAAGATGTTGATGTTCAGTCTTGTCATCTCTTGTTTGACCACGTTCAGCTTGCCTTGATTCATAGATCTTACATTCCAGGTTCCTATGGAGTATAGATCTTTACACCATCGGACTCTCCTTTCACCACCACATGCAACTGAGTGTCCTTTCGGCTTTGACCCAGTTGCTTTATTGTTTCTGGCGCTACTAGTACTAGGCCCCTGCTCTTACCCAGTAGCATATTGGACACCTTCTGAGCTGAGGGGCTCATCTTTCGATGTCATATTTTTTTGCCTTTTGGTACTGTCCATGGGGTTTTCATGGCAAAGGTACTGGACTGGGTTGCCATTTCCTTCTCCAGTGGATCACGTTTTGTCAGAGCTCTCTGCTATGACCTGTCCATCTTGGGTGGCCCTGCACGGCATAGCTCATAGCTTCATTGAGCTATGCAAGCCCCTTCACCATGACAAGGCAGTGATCCATGAAGGGGTAAATTAACATACAAAGCCCTAAACAACTTGGGGCCGGGCTAACAGAAGGAACACCTGTCCCCATATACCAGGACATTAAGATCTTTGGTGGATGTCTTTCTATGCAATCCCCCAACCCATGAAGTAAATGGGGAAACAATAAGGAAAAGAGCTTTTCCTGTTATCGCAGGTTACCTTTGGAATGCCCTTCCTAAGGAGGTGCAACTGGCACCTTCATTGCATAGCTTCCATCAGCAGGTGATGGCATTTTTATTTAATACCTGTTTTTAGTATAATTATGGTTTTATTTGTTTTTCTTACTGCTTGCTTTTATTTTGTCATATGCATTGTCTCCTGTTCCTGTGTTAATTATCATTTTTTAAATGATGGATTTTTTAAATTGCAGATTTGTATGGCATTGTCTTTGTGAGCCACCCAGGAAGCACTCAGGCTATGGGGTGGCATGCAAGTGTCATAAATAACTAAATCATTACTGTAGCCATAATAAGATCTGTTCTGTGTATTTTTTTTTCCCAGACTGAGAGTAGCTCAAGAATCAGTGAGCAAATTAACTGCGGAAAAGAAGGTGGAAACCAAGAAAATTAATCCTACTGCCAGTCTGGTATGATATAGTCTTGGAGTAACTCATTTCTAGTTTTCTTTTAAACATAGCTAGCAGTAGTATGCCATTTTAGGGCAGTCAAAGGAATTTACTATTTTCTCATTTCCAACTTCAGAAGGCATATCTTTAGAACTTCTTTTCTCAGCAAAATAGTGACTGGAGGTCCATTCATAGAAGCTTTGTGGTGCTAAGTGCCATATGTCCCTGCAAAGACCTGTGCCAGGAAAAAGTGGTTGTACGAACATGAATTCTCAAAAGCTGTCTCCATTTTGTCACTCCTTTCTGATTTATCAGCAACCTTCTTTCCAGTTGTATTCTGCACACCATGGGTCTGAGGCACTGTTTTTACACTACAGATTATCTCACATTTGTGAAATAGAAAAGAGCAGCTTGACAAGACAATGAATAGAGCATTATTGTAGCTTTTTGCTTCACTTGTTTATGTATGAAAATGCCTGACTTTCTGGGTTTTATCCAGTTTTGCCACTATCCTTTTTGCACCTAAACAAATAGAAAATTCTTTTGCCATATTTGGATGAAACAAATGCTGGTGAGCTAAATTAAGGTGGATTCAGTTTAGCATCAATAAATGTAAACACTGTGTGTAAATCATCCTTAGAGGAGCTGCCACTTATTGGTACAATCTAGAAGGATTATAAAGGAACAAGCATGCAGGTGAAATTGGAAGATGGCTTGGCATTTCTCGGCTTGGTTTAAATTGTGTGAAAGAAGACTATAGCATTATTGATATCTGCACTATATTGCCTTCAGGCTGCACATGTTGTTCTTTACACAAGCATGGTGGTTTCTGTTACCAGGGAAGTTCTTGGCATGAAGGTATGAGAAATATTTGAAAGTTCCTGCTGAATTGAGTAAATGTACCTTTAGAAAGAAGTTTGTACTGAAATATGCTCATATTGGAAAGTAATATTCCTGCCTTGGTATAGCACTTCAGGAATTAATTTTCTGAAAAGATATGTTTACGCTAGTTTTGGATTGTGCATTCTTCGTACTAGACCACATACTCTGCAATTTGAGAACAGATGGAAAACTAAAGAAAAGAATGATAATAAAGTTCCTTTTTTCTTAAACAGAAAGAAAGACTACGTCAGAAAGAAGCCAGTGTGACCACCAACTGAAAGAAGACACATGAAAATAATGACAGTGTGACTTAATACCTTGCATGATGCTTCATGCTACCCGTTCCTTAGGGAGCACCTTATTTTAGATGTTATGAAGTTCTGCTTTGCTCCTCTCTTCCTCAGACAATCCACAAAAAACTTCTCAACCTTGGCTTGTACAGAAGAGGGTATATATAAAAAGTTGATTTAAATGGGAATTATGAAGGGTTTTTTAAATAACCCTTCCTTATGTGGCTTTAATGCAATTCTTTTCTTTAAAATTATTTGACGTACTCTATGCAAAATGCACTAATGTGGAAAAGCGCAAAATCAGGATTGTCAACTGTGAATTAAGTAGCTTTATGTCAGCCAAATGGAAGTGGGATGCCTCATAAAAGCTTAATGCACTCTATGCTGGTAGGCTGTAAGATTTACTGGAACAATGTCTGTCTAAAATTATTTTGATGGTATCCAAAGGATTAACTCTACCTTCTCAAAATGGTGGAAGTTAAGTGTATCAGATGTATTCTGTATTTTATTACAGTTATTTTTATAGGAAGCCAATCTATGCCATAGAAATAGGAATACTTTTTTTGCACATGTAGAGAAATAATATCAAAATATTTTATCCTGCTTGACTAAGTTATAGATATATTATAGATAATGTAACTGAAATTCATGAACGTTTCAGATTTTGTTCCTACAATACTCTTCATTTTATCCAATGGAAAAATGAAGACTTTCTGAATCAACATGAGGTCAAGTTAGCAATGTTGAAAAATGCTTTATTTATCATGTAGCTTTAAAATATGTATCTCTATTATTTATCATTAATCTATGCCAAAATCTATATTTTTTCATAGTCAGTACTTCAGTACAGTTTGTTTTTAGAACATGTTTACATCATTGCGTGTATGTCAGAGAGGCAGAGGGAGAGGAAATGGAAACATGCATGCATGCACACATACATTACTCATATACACACTAGTCCATAGTCTTTGAATAGAAGGACATTATTGATCTCCCATTGTACGCATGTAACAATTCATATGAAATGCCATTTAGAATCTCTGTCTAGTGTATCAACATGTCTTCTCTCAAAGCTTTGTACTTGAGAGAACATAAGGAATTACACAAACAGCCCCTTGAAATTAAAAAGCAATCCTTGCAATTGAAAAAATATACATTAAAATAAAACACTGAATGTTTGAACAAATGGTTGACTCAACAGCTAGAGATGGTGTATACCAAGAAGAAGCTGGCCTGTGTCCTAGAAGAGGTACCAGTAATATTTTCTCCTTTCCTGAAAAATAAGCAACAGCTAATCCCACATTTCTGGCCAGCATTTGCCATTGCACATTGTTGCCTCTGTGTCCTTATGGTAGGTGCCTATATACCTTATTTAATGTGTTGTGAACAATTAAAGGACAAGCAAGAGTCTTTGGAGAAGGCAGACACCTGTTCCTCAGAATGCCCTCACCCTTGAAAGATACCAGGGAGAAAATATGTGATGTCTGTTGGTCCTGAATATGTAGCACTGAATTCTGATGAAGTTAACAAAACCTCAGGAACTATGGTAAAATGAACTAAGAAAAGGAATGTAAAAGAAAAGGAAAATATATCACCTAATTAAAGAACAGTCAGATTTGGCAAAAGACCTATACAAGTTTGATGCATGTGATTATTGTATGTAACTATTATTTTCTGGTTAAAAGATGTTAATGTCATTCTAAGAACAGTCTTTTGAAAGATTTAATATGAAACTTCCTGCTTATCTTTCCCAATACAACAGCAAGAGTTCCAGGATAACAAATTCTATACCTGACATAGATACATTCAGTTCAGCTACCTGAATATGAAACAATTGTAGACATTACAGCACCATCACTGAAATGCTAGTTGTGTCATTGCTTGTATAGAAATGTGAGATGTCCCATCAGACAGGCTTACAGTTTTCCATGTTAAAGGAAAGCAAGTTGTGCAAATTAAAATTGCTTTCATTAAGCGCAAGAACAGAAAATTTATAGCATCAAAAATGAAGAATCTAGTAGCAGTAAGGTCTAACAGTGTCAAAGAATAGTCAGACAAATGGTGGCAATATTCTGACAAAATCCAGTAACATGAATAAGAGAAATCAGGAAAAAATACTAATGGAAATACGTACTGGAAATTATGGATAGATCAATCCTAGACATATTTGATAAACCCCTCTATTTATTTATTTTTATTAAATGTTGTACTGACTACTATTAGATCAAATGAAAAGAATATGGGCCAGTGTTCATCAACCTGGTGCCTTCCAGGTGTTTTGAGATACAGCTTAACCATTGGCCTTACTGGGTTGAGCTGACAGCAGTTACAATCCATAATATTTGCAGGGCAGCAGGTGAGGAAGGCTGCTGTATTGTTTCACAAAGGATGCAATGCCAGTCCACAAGAGACTTGAGAGAAAATAGCTACTAGTGCTACTGGCTGATCTTAAAAGTAAAATACTAGGAGTAAGTGGATGATGATTGAATTATGTATTTTATGGGAAATGAACTGAAATGTAGTAACTGAACAGTACTGTGGATCAGTAGGCATCAGCTTACCATAGGATGTTGAAGCAACCTTAGTTATATAAAGGTTACATAGGAATAAAAAGCTAATGAAATCCTTGAGCATCTGTTTCACAGTCCAGTGAGGCTGGTATTAAGCAGTTTATATCTCACTGATTTCAGCTAAGAAATTTAAGATATGCTTCATACATGCACTGAAAGTAATGGGGCTTCAAACATAATTTGTCCTCTGAAATCACTTTTACTTAGCCACAGCTTGAAGATAGATGTACAGAGGAAATGGATAAATCCCATAGACCAAATGAATAACTAGCAAGTAGATATACTGTAAGTTCTCAGGAAGCAGATCTGTATTGTCCTGCCAAATGATGAAGAGTCCCTTATTACAGTTCTGCACCTCACGCAAAGCTCAAAAAAGTAGAGGAATGGAAGATTTCTCAGCACAAGGTAGGACCACACATATGGGCAGTGATCAGATAGCTCCACTTTGACAAATTTACTGTGAGAAATTGTCTCTTCATCCTGTGTGATGTCAGATCAATTGGCTACAAGTTTAAACTAAAGAAGTAGCAGACTTTCTTGCACTTGATCTGCCAGTTGCAAAATGCCACCCTTGGTGGCATAGCCAGAAGCATGGCTTCTAGACTGAGAGAGGTATTACTACCACTCCATATGACTCTAGTGCTCCTGCAACTGGAGTATTATATTCAGTTCTGGGGCGCTCATTACAGGAAGGATGTAGCCAGGTTAGAGCCAGTGCAGTGTGGGGCCACAAGCATGGTGGCCGGCTTGCAGGGGATGGGGTATGAGGTGAGACTGAGGGAACTGGGTCTCTCCAGCCAGGAGAAGAGGAGACTCTGAGGGGATCTATTGGCAACATACAGGTATGTGAGGAGGTGTCACATGGAGGTGGGTAAAGACCTGTTCTCCCCTGTAGAGGAGGGCAGAATGCACACCAATGGACCAAAGCTCAGGGAACCAAGGTTCAGTTTGTATGCCAGGAAGTAGTTCCTGGCAGTTAGAAACCCAAGGGAATGGAATAGACTTCCACGGGAGGTGGTTGAGACCCCATCAGTGAGGGTGTTCAAGGATAGGCTAGATATGCACATGGTAGGCATGTCGTGAGCAGAGCAGGCTAGAGCTGGAGGTCCGACTAGATGGCCTGGGAGGCCCCTAGCAAAAAGAAAGCCTTAGAATCCTGAAAAGGGATGATGGTGGGGAAATTATTTTTTCTTGCTTCTTTACAATGTCTTAAAATACATGAACCTCTAATCTCTAACTAAAAACTTCAAATATAATTTATGCTTTAAAAAGACTGGTGTTCAGTGATAAAACCATGCATTCAATGCAATTGCTTTCTAGCATGGAGAGGAAGAAACAGAGAAAGTTACATGTGTGTCTGTGCACACATCCATGTGTACATACATCCATACAACATCAAGCCATGTTTACCCCATCAGAATAATTAAAAACTGCAAGTACCAATGTGCAAGTGTTCTTATTTTGGAACAGAAAAAGAAAACGTTTTTGGAATGGAACAATTCATTTTGCATATCTTAAGAGACAGCTTAATAAGCTAAAGTCTATATGGTCTTGAACCCAAAGAACCCACTGCACCAGAGAAGGACATTTGTCCATGCAGGGCAGAAAGTAATAATATGTGCGCGTGCACACAGTCTGTCATAGTTCCAGGGCAGTGCTTGGGGTACAGAGAAGCTGCAACAGTTCAGAGGACAGGAATCAGTCCTGCATACACCACTGTTAACCTCTGGATCTTTGCATGCTGGCTACTGCATTTCAGTATTCCACTCATTTTCTGAAACATCATCAGAAAATCTTGATGGTAAACTTGCCTTTTGTACTGTATTTCAGAGGGACTGAATTTGTATTCTTAATTAAATTAGAGTATAGTTACACCATATAGAGATGGGACATCTCAAGCAATGAAACAGAGGTACAAATCTATGACTCAGTGAATGTGGAAATTTAAATATGTTGGGATATCAAAAACAATAAGATATTGATTCCTCTTCCATAATCACTGCTGAGTAAAATATGAACAAAGTATTTTTTAAATTAGCTATTGTTGATATTTAAAATACTAAGCAGAAAGCGGATTGTGGAAATTGTTCAGTTTGTTTATTTATCCCTTCATTACTGCACAAGGGCTTAAACGCAGAGCTGGGCCCTCCTTTTTATGGAAGAGGTACCACTCACATGGAAGGGAAGGGATTTTTGCCAGAAGAGTTCAACATTTCCAGGGCATAAGGAGATCTAAGGAAAGTCTCTTTTTACTCTTCTCCTCACAGGATGTCTATTTCCAACATGTAAAGGCAACCAAAGAGTCCTACAGTAGAAATTTTCTATAGACGCACCCATGTCCAGAAATTCATAAATGTTCTCTTGCACTTGTGCTCCCTTTTCCTTTCATTATAGAAATCCAAGCAGCATATAGCGACACAAAAAATGCAGGTGTGGTTCTTCGTCGTGGCCTCT